CCAAGGAGCTTCTTCAGCTCTGACTGGATGGTGGGAAATTGAAGGATTTATATTCCTTGCAGACAGCTGGTCATTTGCATCCTTTTAAAGGGTCATTGAATCACTTGGAGGTTTATCAGTGGCCTCAGAATAAGTTGGATTGTTGGACTCGGATATAATTGAAATCATTTGGGAAGCTTTTATGGACGAGGACAGATTTGATCCGAGGAGACTTTAGAGCAAATCTAAGGCCTCAACTATTATTCCACACTAATGTTTCTCAACCTTAGAGACAGAGGTGGGTTGCTGTCGGTTCGGCCTGGTTTGGCCCAGTTCAGCCAAACTGGTAGTGGAATTGAGACCTGGGTCACAGAAATGGCAGTGACCCAGGCCTGACACACCCCTGAACCAGTTCCCTTGTCACTGCTGATGTTGCTGCCATGTTGGATTTTTGTGACTGTGTGTGCGCAGTTTACTGTAAATTATTCTGCACATGCACGGAGAAGAATTTCTATTGAACAGCATGCGCATGGGTTGCGCGCGGGTTGCGAACCGGTAGTAAAACCAGCAGCAACCTGCTTAGAGAGATATGTGGACCAGCTCCCAGAATTCTCCAGGGGGATATCTTAATGTTGCCAAGGTTGAGAAATGTTGTTCTATGCGTCTGTAGATAAAAGATAAAGATAAAGGGGTTGTTTAACATTTAATTACAATTCATTGAGAGCAACATTAGAGCAATGTTATTGCAGTACCCCCTTGATTCAAAAATTGGATGTCAGTGACTCTGGAATGTTTCCTAACCTTACCTGTAAATGCCAAGGATTGTAGATGCCAGGTAGCTCTTTCTAGATTAAAACAGAGAGGTTCAGTTTGAAATACCAGTTTAGTAAGAAGTGCATTAGGTAATCCTGAGCCAGTCAGTTCCTGTTACATAAAGGGGAATAGAGCAGTGGTGGGTTGCAGGTGGTACGCCCTGGTACGGGCATACCAGAACCAGCCAGGAGCACTGGATACCATTCCTGTACGATGCTCCAGAGGGCCCACCTGCCCACCCGAGCTCTTTACTGGTCTTTTAAGGCTTCTGCTCTTCCGTGCACATGCACAGCATGTACAGCAGCTGCGCAATGCTCTGCTGAGCAGCTGGAACATTGGGGAGGCTCGCAGAGGCGCTAAGACGCATGGACGCACTGCGCATGTGTGCACACGTGCTGCACGCATCCATGTGGACACCGCCGAGCCCATTCCAACTGTACCGGTTGGAATGGGATCCAGAACCTACCACTGGAATAGAGATTAAAATATCTGGAAAAAAATAGAAGCCATGTTTAGAATAAGGTTCAGCAAACCATTCCATTACAATAATGACTCTTTCCCCCATAAACAAAATGAACATTTAAGAAAAAAATGAAACTGTTTCAATTAAAAAAACAAGCAAACCTTTTTTGAAATTACTCTAGAAGTTCACGCTTTTGATTGCGTGTGGATAAAAACATCCGACATTGTGATGAACTGCTTCCCCCACCCCCATTTTCCAACTGTCTATACAATAATAATAGAAAGATGAAAATTATATTTCTATGGTAATCATGGTGAAGGAATTCAGCTTCAGCCTATCCTATTCCAGGATTCCTTGAAATGAAGCTGTGAAATAAAATTTAATTAATGTAGGATCAAAAGATATGCCATAGATCAGCTCAAAACTAAATGCAATGATTTCAATGGAATTAGATGGAAAGAATGTGGTGATAGTTATGGGCATATACAAATGTTCCCTCAAAAAATATGTATTTCTGAATGGCCATTGCAATATAGGGAAGGGATATCATTCCCTGCCTTCAGACTCTCACATTTAAAATGGTTGTGCTGCTCTTTTAGTTTGGTGCTTTAAGGGTCTATGAACTTTGGTATTTATAATCTAAAAATGGAGGCAAACTTCCTGTACTTGAGCAGAGCTGTACTCTCTTGACATCTAACATCAAACAGTGCCATTTTTCAAAAGGAAAATCCAGGTCCAACATTTGCCTCTGTGTGTATTTTATCTTAATCCAACTGTTTGCAGAACAAAGAGTAAACCTTCCTTGGGGTATGTTGCTATTTGACTTTATATTTCTCTCAGTGCTTCCAATAAATCATGAACTGCTTTGGAGATGTCCGAGGGCATCCCTTTTCCTCAACTACAGTGACACGTTATTAATAATAAATAGTGCCAGTCTCTGTGGATGTGTGTCTCTCATTCTCCATAACTGATCAAATGGATAGTTAATAGCACCTGCTCTGTCTTTGGAGACCTTCATTAGCATGGTGTCATCTTGTTTTTAGCATCTTCAAAGATACATTTTCAGGAGAGATTACATTATTGGGCACTTTCCACTAACCAAAACAGCTGAGATATAATTGAGAAAAGCCAGAGAGAAGAAATAGGCAATGCTTAACTTGGACAATAGGCAAGGTATAAACCAGAGGTGGGTTCCTACTAGTTCGCATCTATTCGGTAGAACCGGTTCGTCAAATCTACCGAACCAGTTAGAAGAGGTTCTACCAGTGGACTCGTAAAGCAGGCCACACCTACAGAAGAGGTTCCAAAAATTTTTGAAACCCACCACTGGTCCTTAGATATGATTATTCTA